AAGTTAGTTTTGTAGCTGACTGACATTAAGAAACGTAGCATTATGTAAAGGATACGATCCTCTTTCGCACGTAGTTACTTCTCATAATACTGGATAGACTTTTCACCCCATTGTGTTAGTTTCCAAGTTGTGTAGGAAACAAAATTTCACAATTTGTTTTTATACTTGTATACTGAATATTCCCATTAAGATTTCATTTGATTATTTATTTGCTATTATTATGCCATAGCTTCTGCCAGAAAAAAAACTACTAAAATTCTACAATAATGATTAAAATTAATAATAAATAGTCATCATTATAAGTAGCAGGCAAATTACATAAAGCTTCTACGACCATCCAGCCCTAGGTCATCAACTGAAAGCTCTTGCTGCTAATGGCGTTAATTACGTGGTGGTTAAAATCTATTGTTTCACAGAAGGACTTACATAACAAAAATATTTTCAAAAAATAATTTACAGTATTAGACTAAAAAATAAAGAGTTGTAATGAAAAAAAAGAAGAAGAAGAGGGAATCCTCAATAGCCGCGGATGTAATTAGATCTCAAATCGTTCAAGAGATGGAGCTATGAGCTAAAAGTTTGTACTTGAAAAACCAAAAAAAACTCAGAGCCATTCTATAAGCAGCTATGCCGCGGCTAAAAATTATCAGAAAGTGAAGCATCAACTAATAGGAATAAATCAACTTCTGGTTGAATAGATTTGCTCTGAACATAAGAATTACATAGATCTGTTGTCACCCACAGCTTAGATATATATGTGTGTATATAAACCCATCTGTGCATTTACTTATATGATTTTTTTTTCTTGAAACTTTTGTTACCTGCTTTATGTCGGCCCTTTTGTAGCGGGGTGGCGTGACCTAGTGGTTAGCGTGCTAAGACTATGAATACGAAAGTTCATGGGTCGCAGCCCTTTGCCGCAAAAATTCGATTTCTTTGAGGCCATGGGTGCTATTCGATCAGGCAAGAGTTGGCGATGGGTATTGTTAATTAGCTGCTTTACGTCTTGTCTATCAACTCAAAATTAGAGGCGACTTTGCACAGACAGCTCTTTCTGTGAGTTTGCGCGAAATTTCTGAACCAAACAAAGAAACCCTCTTGTTACAAAAGTTTTCAATATGCCTGTGCAAAGTTTTTGATTTCAGTTTTTTGTTACATCTGTGAGCACTACTTGAAGTACATATACAAAGTTATTTAAATAATATTACACGTGTACTATTGTAAATCACGTGAAAAGCTGACAAACCAGTTCCCGCGGTGGCTCAGTGGTAATATCTGAGGGCTTATAATGCTAAAAATCGTGTTTCGATACACGATGGGCGGAGCACAGATCGCCTATTGTGTAGCTTTGTTTTTATCAACTGTCAAACAAACCGTGATGAGTGAGAAAAAAAACAAATAATCAAAAGCTTCAGGTTACAAAGAAACAGTTCGTAATTTATAGGGGGAAAACAATGAAACGATACAAACAAAAGACATAGCAGTAAACGTTGCAAATGTTATGTATCTTTCATTTCATCGTTGCGCATCTACTTTTTAAGCACATGCATATATGTTTTCTTTTAAGGTTATTTCATCGATAAGAAACAGTGTTTTATCCTTTTGTATTGTGTTAAGGTAAAAAAAACAACGACACAATATTGGGATGATTTCAGCTTGACCGTCTTCTGACATTTTTCGATTATACTACATTGTAAAAAGTAAAAAACAAGTCTGTTAAAACAATGGTGAAAAACCCGGTAGTAGAGTTGCCTTTACGATCTTCTTCTTTTTTGTTTTATACGGAAAATCCTATTCAGTTTATAAAAGTCCAACAAGCAACGCGATAATATGTAGTGCACAGACATCCTCTTCAAAACAGAGAATGTACCCGATTCTCAGTGTATGGACTACCTCCATAAATCTATTGGGGTTTATGTTGTATAGTGTACGACACTGTATAATGGTGACATTTCTCTTGTGCAAAATAAGGGTATATAAACTTCATAATGTAAGAATTCCATGCTAGCTTATTGATAAATAAATTAAAAATGCATTATTTCCCTATTATATCACTAGTAAATAAATCTACAATGCGGTATTTTTGTTAGATCACTGGTAAAAAAAATCCACAATGCGTTATTTTCGTATTAGATCACTGGTAAAAAAAATCCACAATGCGTTATTTTCGTATTAGATCACTGGTAAAAAAATTCACAATGCGTTATTTCCGTATTAGATCACTGGTAAGTAAATCCACAATGCGTTATTTCCGTATATGAGATCACTGGAAAGTAAATCCACAGTGCATTATTTCCGTGTTAGAGCAGTAAATGACAAATGTACAATATATTTTTATTTTAGTGTCAAACGAACTACACGGTGTATTATTTTTTATTCTATCAGTGACAAATAAACTCTTGTTTTTTCACCGGAAAATAAACCCACAGTGTATTATATTCAATGTTAAACCACTAGAAAACAAATATAAAATGTTTTATTTTAATGTTAGATCAATGACATACAAACCTCATAATGTGTTATGTCAAATAAACCTAAAGCTATTATTTGGGTGTTAAGTCAAAAGAAAACACACCAAAATGTATTATTTCCTTATATAACCAGTACAAACAAATCTACGCTTTCTTTGCTAGATTGTTTAGGCAGAGTCAATGTGTGTAAGCTGAAGACGAAAGACTTTCGAAACGTCGTCCTCTACACTTGTGTTTTTTCTACAACTGGAAGTTACCGCCCATTCCAGGGTACTCATCAAATCTACGCTTTTTTGTTTTTCCTTTTTTAATAAAAGTGAGAGCTTTATACAACATGTTGATTTCTTTTATAATGATGGAGTTTTCAGGTATTTCGAAACTAAAGTTAATCATACGTACTGCTCATGTAAAAAGAAAAATTAAGATATTTATTAAAGTAATGTGCGAGAGTAAATTTATCAGCACGTTCATCTTAATGGGAAATGTCATTTATTATTTTTAACACTTCACTGTGCTGCATATGCGCTCTCTCTCTTTCTGGTCGCGCCACCTCTTGAGTACAAATAAAAATTAGTTTATATTTTTTTATAGTTGGCGAAATAATAGCTGCAAAATTTTTATTATCTTAAACACGGTTATCCTAAACATTTCTAAATAATTTTACGAATACTAATGCCATCAAAGTAAAACGATTTATTTTTTTGTATTGTTACTAAACAACCATTTATATAGTAAATGTTTCGACAGACATCATGAATGCCTGTGAAGAACAGGTAGCAATATCTACGTTTCTTTAAAAAAATCAAACTGATCGCAGATGTTTTTTTTTTCATATTAATTTTTCAAAAAAAAACTTTGGTCTATTCATTTCCAATGTTTCGGCGGCTTTCGGCGTTCAAACCGAAACTTCTAAAATATTTGTGTTTATAACTTCAGGATGGTCAGAGGAGGGGGAATATTAAAGGTTAAATTTCAATGAACTTGTGAACATATTTAAAATATTAAAATTCACAAACGAACAACGTATTGTAATACACAATTAAAATCTTTATATAAAGCGATCAACGTTTGTAAAAGTCACATGTTTCAATATGGTTTCACGTCATCATTAGGAACGAGGAAACAAATATATACTGTGTGCTATATAACTATAAAAGCCATGGTCATGTGACTACTAGTTTACAATTCAAAAAAGAAGATCGCGCCATCTACATACTTTCTGATTTTATAACCCTTCATCCTTATTTAAGATCAAGTTTTTTGTTTTTTGTTTGCCATGTTTCATTATTTCAGTGCTAAATACAGTACTTATATAGCATACACTCCTGAAGATGGCGTTGAAACATATAGAGTTACTTTTACAACCGTTGATCGATTTAAATACAAATTTTAATTGTGTATTATGAAACGTTGTTCGTTTGTGTAGTTTAATATTTTAGAGGAAGAGGATTTCAGTTTATCCTTTCAATCTATTTAGATTATTTGTGTTACATAATAACGCAATTTTTTGGCAAAGTAAATTACCAGAAACTTTTTATGACGCTTTGGACTTCTTTATGGAACTTTCTTTGCCGCTAGTTTCATTTTCACAAGAACATTCGTTAGTTATTCGGCTTATAACGCTGAAAACAAGGTTTTGACACTCGTGGTGGGCACAGCAGAGATAGCCCGTCGTGTAGTTTTGTGTTTAAGAACAACCAAACAAACTAGAACTGTGTAGTACATGCGATTTAATGAGAGAAGCAACTGTGATTGAAATTTTTATTTTTTTTAGGAAAAGGTCTTTTATGATACTAATGATAATTAACATCTGACTGATTGATAAACATTGAATTGTTTAATTTTTATCAGCTTCTTAATTTTGCATTTTTCATAAAGAAATAACTTCCATCAAAAGAACTGGTGATTATCGACTGTTTTAAATAAACAACTTGTAGTGTGGAATCAATTTAGAAATAAAAATGATAATAATTGTAGAAACTTGTTTGCTCTTTCAGCACTAGACATTTTAGAGGTGATTCATCCACTGTTTGTTTAGTGCATTGTACAAAAGTCACATGAAAGTGCTACCTTTATACAATTATCTTCAAAACAATTTCCAGTTTCTCTGACCTATATTTGGCCCTGCCTTCACATATTTTACGATTTTTTTATATTTATTGACTATTTTGACAGATCGTAGCGTAACACAATATACATTGTTTATGTATTATCGAGCAATATTTGATGTAAACATAAAAAGATTGTGTAAACGAAAATGATATTATTCTCGACTGATCTAGAAAGAATTAATTGCAGTATTATAATAATCAAGTCCCACATTATAGGTTCGCACTCAGGAAAACCATTTTGTTGTAGTGTGATTAATCCGGGACTATGAAATCAAAATATAATTCGGAAAAATTATATCTTTATTTTGACTATTTTAAGGTGTATTTGTATGTTACTGGCGGACTTCAGTGCATATTTTATATTTTTTATGGTGTATTTATATGTAACTGGCGGTCTTCAGTGTATATTTTATTCTAGAAAGAAGCAATGAGGATGATGTGCAAGAACCATACCAAGGAGGAGAAGGAACTCTCTTTACATAGGTAAGATTGTATGAATATAACTCTTAACAAAGTCTATGTTATAGTCTCCTGATGTAGTTTTTTCAGGCTTTTCTAGTATACGTTAAAATTCTAAAGTACATAAGTCAAAAGACAATATTTAATCGTTACTGGATTGGGAGAAAACTTTGCAAAATGGGATATTTAAACTTCATTAGTTTTATTTTTTTTACAACTGAAGTTTTAGCCAAAATAAAGTTTCTTCTTAATTTATTGTTCGATATGCACGTAGTTCTATTAACTTTGTGTACTATTTCACGTAGTTCTTTAACATTGTGTGCTATTTCACGTAGTTCTATTAACATTGTGTGCTATTTCACGTAGTTCTATTAACATTGTATGCTATTTCACCTAGTTCTATTAACATTGTGTACTATTTCACCTAGTTCTATTAACATTGTGTGCTATTTCACGTAGTTCTATTAACATTGTGTGCTATTTCACGTAGTTCTATTAACATTGTATGCTAGTTCACCTAGTTCTATTAACATTGTGTACTATTTCACCTAGTTCTATTAACATAGTATGCTATTTCACGTAGTTCTATTAATATTGTATGCTATTTCACGAAGTTCTATTAACATTGTGTACTATTTCACGTAGTTCTATTAGCATTGTGTACTATTTCACGTAGTTCTATTAACATTGTGTACTATTTCACGTAGTTCTATTAACATTGTATGCTATTTCACGTAGTTCTATTAACATTGTGTACTATTTCACGTAGTTCTGTTAACATTGTGTACTATTTCACGTAGTTCTATTAACATTGTATGCTATTTCACCTAGTTCTATTAACATTGTGTACTATTTCACGTAGTTCTATTAATATTGTGTATGTTGGTGTGGTTGTATATTTTTTTTTATGAATAGAGGTTTTCGTTGTTGTTTATAAAGTAAATGGAGATTTTAAAAAATTAATGTTGAGTGAAAGCATTTTTTGATAGTGTATTGTTACAGTTTGCTGCTTTTACACCTCAAATATGGCACGTTTTTAAGAAACATTTAATTTTTACTAACGAAAGGAACTTAGTTTCCTTTAATATAATAACTTAACATAATTGGTGGTGTATATACGTAATTCACTCAAATGATAATAAGTGCATAGGGATTTGTGGTATGTATATATACGAAACTCATTTCCTGAGGTATAACAGCTCATCACGGAATTTACACAATACTTCCGGTGTGAAAGACAGTTGATTATTAAATGTATTTTGACGACTGTGACATCACTAACGTCGCTGCGAATAGTTTAATTGCTTTAATTTTTATGTACTGTCTTGTTTTCATAATTTTGAGTAAAGTACGAGAAGTACTGGGCATAATTATAAACACAATATTGGCGTAATTTCTAATTGAAAATATCAGATTTTTTTTGTAGTTTGTATCCTGGCATGGCTATCATAGCTTTGTTACTGTAACGTAGTAACACAATTATGAATTTATATTTTATTTTATTGTTTGTGTTTCATTACTTAAACGTTTATCATTTGTATAGCTGTAATATACTTAGAAAATTAAAAAATGTTCAATAAACGTTTTCCATAGCAAAAACAAAACATCAATACAAAGAAGGAAAAGAATCCCTGGTCTTTTCTTACGAAATTAGAACGATACCGTTGTGAAATCCAAAATCTCATATCACACACGAGAAGCTGTGTTATCTGTTTATGTACTTGGGTGAATGCTATGAGATTACTTCCTAGATTGCCTCTCCCACCCCCTCCCATTCCGGTTGATCATCGGAAAGACTGTGAACTTACAACGCCAAAAATCTGGTTTTCATAATGGCGGCGGTCAGAGCACAGACAGCCTATTGTATAGCTTCTTGCTTAACAACAAAGAAACAAAAACAAATTCCTAGATGGATCGTGAAGTATACGGATAGTAAAAATCAATGACTTGTAATTAATGTAATCTAATTAAGTACAGCAGAACTAATCACTAACTCATAAGTTAATGAAGTCTATTCAATATGACAAATGTTATAAAACATTAGATAAGAAAATAAAATCTGTAAAGATTAAATGTTTTGAATTATCAGTTCGGTTCTCTCGCTATTTACGATATTTTCAAGATATAATCTGTATAACGAAAGGATAGTGAAACGGAGAACTCAGTTATCAAAGTCGAAAGGTCAGTGGTAAGGAAAATTACAGTTTTGGAGTTGTTATTATCCCGTTGGATTCTTATCTTGAAGCGTATACTAAATGAAGCAGACGCTCCACCACTTTCCACAACTGCTCTGCTATGATACTAACGTATACTATCATTACAATTTTATAAAAACATCTGGTGTTTAAGTACTTTAACGAAACCAAGGCTGGTATTGAACCAAAGTTCATCAATTCTCTCTCTCTCTGGAGCTCACAGCATAAAAGAAAACATAGGATAAAATAAATGCATTATCTTTCATCAACATATCAAATATTTCTACTAAAATCTTGTTTTATATGAAATCGTATCACATTTACATGAGAATGCTAAAACTGTTGTAGGGTAGCTAAATAACCAAACCTATAGGGTTTGTAGCACTTCAAAAGGTTTCGTGACATTCTAGCCTATAAAATACACGTTTAATGTTTTCAACAATTACAGTATACATGATTATGTACTATATTATTTGTTATTTTTATAATTTTGTTTTTAATTTGATATCTTACAAAACATGTTTGACGATACTGTGGATAAGTATATGCACTTTAACTTGTACTGAAATAAAATAACACAAGATTCACGAATTTTTAAAGATGTCAATATAATTAATGGAATATTTTCTGTTGTTGTTAGAAATTAGTGAAAATTAACTCTTATAAATAAATTTGTACTGACAGTTAATACCACATTGTATGAAAGATCTGTATATACTTATGCAAAGGCGAATACCGTATAAGTGAGCTGTGACGCCACGACAGGCGACATGTTTAACACCTAACCATCCGAAAGTGCAACGCCTAAACTGGTTCACTTATAAGTGAAAAAAAATACCACAGCCTTTTTGAAGGTAATTATACATACGGCGGGATTATTAGACTATGTTTAGACAAAAGACACAACATTTTGAAGAAGGAACCCTTTAACGTTCTCCACGGAAACGGAAAAATTTGCATAGAAGAGCGATTAGGACTGCAACAAACTTCCTTAAGCCACACCTTAAATCAGTCTGGACTAATGTCTTCATCTACAAGGTAAAGGCCTGGGTTACGAAAGATAATCCTCCGACTAAAAAAAAAAGTCATTGCGATAAAGCTGGACATATATTCTATTAGCATTAAAAATATAATAAACAAGGATTTGAAGTTGACGAAAGCTCAGAAGCCAAAAATTCACAAGTTTCCAAACATTCCTAGAAATCATAGAAGAAGAAAAATGGACGAAGAAACTGGAGTCACACCATTTATTTCGGCCACATATCTGTCAAATATCCTACACAGTTTTAACGAACTATTGTTCCATTGATTTGCTTAAACATTATCTTAGAAGCCTACATCCACGTATAATGGAGAGTCTGTGGAAAGATTGTTAAGATGTGTGGTTTGGGATTGTTAGTGTCGTGCAACAAAGTGTGATCATGATCACCAGACTAAGTACGATCGAGGAGGAAGGAAATATTTCCAAGAGCAGAATGTGACTCTAAACATCATTCGTATAAATTGGATTAACCTCACTATTAGACATTTCCATAGCGGGGTTCATGCCTTTATCCGTTTTGAAACTAGGAACTGTAACCTACTGGTTAAGTAAAATATTATAATATTTGTACTAAAATAGTTTGAATCTATTCTAATCATTCCTCCTATAAGGCTATTTCTTCAGAGCTTATAGTGACAAGCAATTGTATAAGATCTAAATGTATTCGGGCGAATGTCCAAGATTTGATGTATTCCTTAATTATTTTCTATATAATATCTGTGCTTTGAATAAGTAAATCCATAAACTTGTGATTACTTATGAAAATAATAATATTTCAGTCGCTTTGATTTAATTCTAAAAAGTTATGATTGAAGGCAAAAAACGAAGGATACGTAATGTTGTGTCAACTACACTACCTCTGTCATATCCAGTACCGACGAAACCGTTCGTACAATTTCGATTTCAAATTCGATGACGAGGAACCCACTTTGAGACGACTTTAATATAAGTGCTTGGAGACCATACTACATCTCATCGAATTTGAAATCGAAATTGTACGAACGGTTTCGTCGGTACTGGATATGACATGGTCTCCAAGCACTTATATTAAAGTCGTCTCAAAGTGGGTTCCTCGTCATCGAATTTGAAATCGAAATTGTACGAACGGTTTCGTCGGTACTGGATATGACAGATGTAGTGTGGTCTCCAAGCACCTATATTAAAGCCGTCTCAATAGTGGGTTCCTCGTCATCGAATTTGAAATCGAAATTGTACGAACGGTTTCGTCGGTACTGAATATGACAGATGTAGTGCGGTCTCCAAGCACTTATATTAAAGTCGTCTCAAAGTGGGTTCCTCGTACTACATCTGTCATATCCAGTACCGACGAAACCGTTCGTACAATTTCGATTTCAAATTCGATGACGAGGAACCCACTTTGAGACTAATAATGCTTGGAGACGACTTTAATATAAGTTTAACATAACAGCAAATGTACAACGTTTCGACAAGGTTTTGTCATCATCAGGTACCCAGGTTCGTACGATACCAAAGTCCATTAGGTCGGCTGGTATATAACAGACACATTAGTGGTCAAGACGCTGTTCGTAATCATTAATTGCATGAATAACAGCTGTAGTGGTGTGAGCTAGGTTATGTAAGTGAGTTATAATTATTATCAGTTTTATTTAAGTCATTTACAAGTCAAAATTCGGGTAAGAATTAATAACACAGTATTATTTATTTTATATTTAACACCAATTATTTAGCTACTTTTAACTTGAGTTAACTTTTACTATCATTCAGAAAAATTGGTTCATTCTGAATTGGTCAAGAAATTGGTTAAAAGTGCTACATAAAATTAGCTGAAAGAATTAGCTACATAGAAAATGGTTGGAAAGATAAAAACACCTTTATAGTCTAGGGTCTTCTTCAAGGGTCAGCGAGGCAAGATACGCCTCTGTAAATTCCTTGAAAGCTTCTGAACATTCTATTTTATATTACGTCCACTACTTGATTCACAATTTACAATTTCCTTGGTTCCCACGTAAAATATTGAACACTAAGAACGTATAGACAGACTGCAAGTATCTGTGAAAGTTTTGTAAGTAGTTAACAATTTAATATGTCAATTCTATTTCACTTAAATTATTATTTTTATTCAGATAAGGTCGTTTCTATTATGTTTTATCTAATTAAAAACACCTCAGATGAGAAAAAAGGGTGCGACCTAAAAAGGATTGAGTGTGTGACTTAAAGGAATGAAATCAAAATTAGCGGCCAAACTTATAGTATTGATAAGAATTTGACAGCAAATATTCATTCATTGGTTAGCCAGGCCGCATTTTTTGTTCAACTTGGGGCATGATGTTGGGTGAAACAAAATATGCGGCCTCGCTAACCTTTTTTTTCACCTTGTTTTTCACCTTGTTTTTGATTACAAATCATGACTTTTTGTCAATACACACTAACAAACTATATCAAGTAAGAAAGTAACACTCGATAGTAACCCACATTAGCTTTAGGATCGTAACCCTATTACTTGGTACAGACCATTGCTTTATAGAACCGACCAGATTCTTTAAAATATATGGTGGCATTTTTTCCTCTCTAAAACAGTGTTAATAGCTTCCTTTACAGTAACACCACGAAATTTAGATTAACAGTTGCTTGTCATCACTCCATGCATTCGGAACAGACGTAAAAGGCATCGTTATTTATGCTAATTGCTTAAGCTAATATCATGTGACGTTAAACGCTCTTTAATTAGGATAATTTCATAAAAGTTAGTAAATTTGTGCTGAAAAGTTAGCAATGAATAATCAATAATAACCGTCCACCCGTATGATTCTTTTGAAAACTTGAGCTAGAAACTGTTAATCTAATTTGCTTGGCCTAACCAATACTCATGTATCTACACGTCCTTTCACCTTATAGTTTTGCTGCTCTAAATCAGCCATATTTACTCCGAATAACAAAAAACTAAAAACGGACACTTTTACTCTTAAATGAAGCTGTAGTAAAAATGCTAGACCGACAGCTCACGTGACTTTTTGCGTAGGCGTGCGCAAATATTTTCGCCAAAATTGAGCGGTTTTTGTTTAATAACTTTAATATGTTTAATATGTTTACACCAAATTAGACTCCTAATTGTAGGTTAGATCTATCAGTATACTAAATTTGAAAATAATTCCTAAAAGTTAAGTATGTTTTTCTATCAAATAAAGTTTCCGTACTTTTGGTGCGAATAAAAAAATAGGAAGAAACTCAATCAAAATTGGAGATGTTATACCTCAGGTATTTCTTAATGGATTACCTTGATATTTAGTATGTGAAGTAAGAGTCCAGTAAAGCGCATTAATAGAAAATATGGGATAATTTGGATTACCACAGTCCGAGCTACAGAAGGTGGAAAATTGCTAAAGTATCACTCCTGTTAATAACACACAGTGTGTCCTGTTTTGGCCGCACGACACACAGCCATGTGTCTGGATCGGAACATTTTCCTTCTTTCAATAGCCTAACTCCGCAGTACTTGTTAAATATGTTTATTTGTCGTCAGTGATAAATTATGTTTATCATTGCAGTCCTGTGAATGTTGTTTTGCTTTACTGAATATTATCATTATATCTTTTGTATTTAAGGATTCACAAAAACTCTCGTGGTTTTCAAGATACGGAAAAATCACACCACTTTGTGAATTTCAATAACAATAAGCCAAACGGCTACAATCAAAGTCATGCTTCACACTTAAAAAACGGAAACGCCTATGCAGTGTCTTTATCCCACCCTGAAATCATCCTTGAGGATGGTATAACGGGATCCGATATAATCTTAAACGATAGTAGCCTATTTCTTGAAACCCGGACTTTGAAAAGCTATATCCATGATAATAACGACGTAATTGATGTATGTGATGACTGTAACAATAACAATAAGAGTAACATCAATTCTAATTCTGGTCAGAATGATGACTTAGAACGTAAAGACTCTTTGTTTTTTGATATATCGAATTCAACCCAAGATTTGGTGCTTGAGCATTCAGAAAACAACAACAATAACGTTTATCTTCAGACATACTCCCAAAGGAAATTGATAAAACTGAACGGAAGCCTCTTCAAGAAAACATCAGTAAGTCAGTTACAGGATGATCCTGTAATTCAACAAAGGGGAACTGTCTGCACTCAGGCGGGCCAACAAAGTTGCAACTACACTGCTATTAGAAATCATGTTCCAGAACATTTTCTATTTTCTAAAACTAAGTCCCCTGATTCAGAAAGTTCAGAATATTCGGATGTATCTTCTATGAATGAAACTAACTCAAGTTCTGATTTGGACGTAAATATGACAATGGAAACGTTAAATAATTTTTCCATGGCCACAAGTAAACACGACGGTATTCAGTGTCTGGCCAACAAAGACGAGAAAACAAAGAATGCAAACATTCGTCAATTAGAGTCAGCCTCTACGTGCTTGGAAGAGGCAAAGATTTTAAATACAGCTCCGAATCTACCAAAAAATATGACTGATGAGTATCAGGAAGAGCTTAAAAGCAAACATAAAGTGGAAGTTATTTTTTCCGAGGGAATAGAGAAATGTGAATTGGACTCTGCTGAAAAAGAAATTGGAAGAAAGGAGTATGATACCGACTTGCTTTCACAAGAAAACCCCAGTGATGATGGGAACATGAAGAGTAGAAGATCATTAACTCCTGTGATTGAACCATTGTTAAAAGGGTCACCAATTATTTGTGAAAACATATCTTGTTTTGTTTCTAAAAGCTGTATCAGCGATGATAAAATAGAAAGTAAAAACTGGTCTTGGTCTTCTGGAGAAAATGGTGAACACTTACTAAAAATAATTGAGGCTCTACCAAGCAGTTTGGCACCGAAAAGTGAGGATCAAAAGAAATCACTAGAAACAGCTATGTATTCTCGAAATAACTGTGATAAACAAGTGCCTCCTAAAACATCAGGAACAAACAGAAACAGTGCAAATGCAAGCGCCGATCCTATAAAATATTTCCAAACAAAGCATCCTAGAGAGTGTGCTGATACTTCATCATCATTTCGACATGAGTCGATACTAAAAGAACGATCTTCATTACTGGATTATGATGATGAAAAATCGTTGTTTTCTGACGACAGTCTAAATAATATAAGCATTACAAACAGTGTTGTATACAAGAGCATGGCAGAAAAAGTTACACTAACGCCCCCTTGTGTTTCCTTCTCGACAACACGGTCGCCAGGAAAGGATACCGGTAGATATTCATATCCTGTGAAAAAAGATAATTCATCACCTGAAGTTTTAGGAGACTTTGACGTTTACAACATCGAAACAGCAATGCCGAAGATCGACTGGATTGCTTTGGAAGAACATCTAACTCGAGCCGCCAAGGAAGCCGATTGGTATTTACGGGTATGTAACTCTTTTTGTTGTTGTTTGTTTGTTTTGTCGTGTTTGGTAGTCTAAATAGGGCGTTGGTAAAATAATGATATTTTAGTCCATGTTAATAATCCAGTGATAGTTAGGGCATACCATGTCTCTTGAATAAATAAACATTCCCTTCTTCATTTCCAGTGTTTATTTAACTTTGCAGTCTATTTTTGAAATAAAATTAGATTCAGATAAATTTATAACGACCATTGTAAACTGGAAATGTTAGACTCAGTTTGTTATTGCTTTTTAACTTTATTTATTTTGGCTTGAAAATTATAACATCGTGGTCATGTCTTTCAAGAATTATATGTGTATAGATTATGTCATTCCCCTGTAAACGTTGCTTCATATGGATCTGTGAGATCGTATTCTTGTTTGGGATTTAAACCATTTGTTCATTTGTGTGCCTGTATATTTTTGCTGCATTAATCAATTCTAAAATATCTCGGATAAATTCGTTATCCATGTATTCGCTGTATGCCAGGTGGTATCAAAATTAAAATAGCAATTGCAACCATGGCTGAGTTAAGAAAAAATAAGAGTTTTTAGTAACGTCGAACTATTAGTTATTGTGTTTAGATTGTCACACAACCCATGTGATAAGCACGTTGGATTAACGGGATTAAGAGAAAGAAATCCTGTAGTTAAACAGAAACACTTTTCTGACAAGCCGTTTTTGTTTCACAAATAATTCTTTAATCTGTTCGTTATTCATTTGGATTTCCCGAATTTCCGCTATATACGTAACTTAAGCCTTAAAGAATAAGTTCATGATCAATAGTTCAGTGTAATGCATTTTTCTCTATTTCACTTTGCGACTCGTACCGTATTAAGTGAAGTGTGGGTTTTGTGAATGTTGTTAAAACAATGACGTCATTTATCGTCTATGTCTAATTTCGTTACTATTCGTTACCCCTGAATGATGTTGTAGTGGAAGGTGGAATGACTTAAGTTGAAGGGGTTGCGAATTATTTAACGGTGGTGCATTCAGATGTATGTTTCGATGCTGGAGTGCAACGTTACCAAGTATATGTTGGTCAGTACCGAAGCTCGTTATCACAACAAAGGAAACAACCGACAAAAACCAACCAGTACGCTTTGGTTTTAGTTTAGTACTAGTTTATATATAAATTATACCAATTTTGTATAATTTTACAAAAACAAAAAAAAATGTGAGCTTTACCTCAAGCCACAAATTTATGTTACAACTGGAGAGATTTGGATTTTTGTTGTTGTTGCTGTACCTTAGTTTTTACTCATCGCGCCCTTTAATAGTTTTGGTTTTAACTTAAAGTATTGGTGGTTTGCAAATAAATGTACTGTAGCCGTTTTGTTTTTTAACAATACCATGAACTAATCGTGGAGTTGAACCCTGAGCTGCAGCTATCATGTAAAACTGGAAATATTGATATACATGGTGTCACATTCTGGTGTGGATACTAGTTGTTGATAAACTGCAAGCGTGCGATTTTTATTTCGATTTGAATAACCGACGTGTTAAAGTTCACTCATGTGACTAATAATTATACGTTACTTTCTATATAATGTTCGGCTTGTCCTTGGCCTTTGAACTTATCTGACAGATAGTTTATTAAACTTTAGTACTGTTGCTCATCGTGACAGATAAGCAGTAATTTCTATTTGAGTACCAGTGTTCAGGAGGGTGCTAACATGTGATGACTTGGTAGTGGAAACTTTCAAGTCCCCTATACACTTTTTACAAGTAGTGAGTAATTTGTTTATTATAAGGACGTCAAGTTTTGAAATTAATGTACAATGAAGCAAAGTCACGTGGCACTTCATCATCCATGCCATTAGAACAGTTTAATTAATCTATTACTTTAACTGCGAGAATCATTAGATTAGATTACATAAAATGAAAAATGAAAAGACGAAATGTCCTTATTCTGTTGATAACAAGTATATTTCTTCAATCTACCAAATTTATTACGACCCGGACAACGAGGTAAGTAACTCTTAAAATCATATTTCTTGAAAGTTATTAAACTTAATATTTTACTCGGTAAAGTATTTGCCATTAGCCAGTCTTGTAATTACTACTATAAATTTGTTGTCTCTGTTTATATGTATTTATTGGCATCACCACATACTTAGCAACAGTTTCAACGCTTTTATTTATGAAACGCAAGGTTTTATTTCTTGTGACAACTTACACAATGGAACTTAAGTAGCCTTTAAATTTTATTTTACCTCCTAATCGCCCCCGGTGAGATAGCGGTAAGTTTCGGAACTCACAACGCTAAAATCAGGAGCTCGATTCCTTGCGGTGAACACAGCAGATAGCCCAATGTGGCTTATGCTCTAAAACAAAACAAATAAACCTTATAATTACACACACAAACACATATATTTATATATATATATATATATACATATTTGTGTTCGTTGCGATATTTGATGACGATTAATCAAACCTTATATATAAAATATCAGATCCGTGTATGAGGGTCTCAGATTTTGATCCCTTTCTAAAGAAGTGATGGAATATGTTAATCAGAAATAGTTTCAGATCTACTATCAATGGTGCATGTGCCCATTTAATTCAATCCTTTTTTTTTGTAATATAAGCAAAACAAGAAATGTTACATCAGTTTGAACTTTAGACCGGATATTTATCACCATCAGGCCTGCTGCCTCCTCAATAAATTTCCGTCATTTTTTCTGTAACGGAAATCTATTATCTGAAATTAGGTTGTCAATCTCGTTACACAGTAATTTCCCTTTGGTTTAAATTGTTTAATAGAATTATTGTCTTAGTACTGAATAATTTGTAAGATTGAAATAATACTCTTTAAGAACTTTTAAGGCTGTTAACCGACGTCCTGAAAAAAAAATTGTAAGTCTAATAACCGTCCTGAAGAAGTTTTAAGGCAGATAGACGATCATCTTGAAGAAACTGTAAGGGGAATAACTATCCCAAAGAAGTTCTAAGGCACGTGACTGTATAAAAGAAGTTATAAAATGTGTGTTAATCCAAATTTTGCATTTTATAGGCTAGGGATCAAACGTGGGACCTCTCGCACTCTAAGCGAGAATCCTACCGACTTAGCATTTTTTTAAATAATCGAACTACAAGGTGGATAACTATCCAGAAAATCTTGTAAGATTCAAAGTAATACTTGAAATGAAGTTTTAAAGCAGATACTTTCTTGAAAAGAAAAATCGTATAGATATTTTTAGCGCTGTAAAGGTTGGACTGCAGAATGAATTTTGGATAAGTCACAGGTCTAAGGAATTGTAGGACGACCATCCCGAAGAAGTTGTTGGGGCGATAGCTGTTTGATTAAATTGCAGGTGACCATCATGAAGATGTTGTAAGGCGAATTAATTCTGAAGGAGTCGTATCTTATATTAATACTGAAGTAGATATATGATGATAAGGTAGGCGTCCTGAAAAGGAATTTGTAAGGCAGAGAAATTCCAAATGCATTGCAAGTCAGGCTAGTCATGTAGAAATCACAGTTTTAAAGCGGATAACTGTCCTGGATATACTGTAATTTAGATAACCATCCTGAAAAGGTTGTAAAATAGGTAATTGTTCTGAATAAATTGTAAAGCGGATAACCGCCGTAAAAAAAATGTAAGATTGATAATTTCAGAAGTCATGGGTTTAATTAATACTTCATAAAATGTTCAAATACGCGCAAATATTGCGTAATTCAGAATATTTTCTAAGAAGTCGTTGCACTCGCAAATAAGTCTTAATGAAATTATTGAATAATAATGTACAATCTAGATTTAATCTACTTATGTTCGAATTATTAAGTAACTTGTTCAGAAGATTATTAGATCAAGCACAATATAAGACACTTGGAACATGATTTGTTATTGATGTCAATGTCGATTTTGAGGAAAATGTGCAATAGTTTTGATTTCGTTAAGACTGACTTACAGAGGTGAGCAAAACCACGTGTTATGAGCAATTCATCACGTGAACAGCTGACCCTGAGTAATATTATGATATTTTATACGTGACTCAGAGCAACTTATTACTTGAACATAAACACAGGCTTTCTTAATTGTTAGTTGGTTGTCTTAACACTGTTTTTCTAACTCGATAAATGAAATTACATACTTTAAGTATAATATATTGGACTGTTTCATAATATGACATTTATTTTAAGTATCTATCTTAAGCTGATTTTATTCTTTCCTTGAAAACTGCCCTTTTTTATGGTTTAACTTCTATATACTGTTTCGCAAGATTCCAACTCTTGTGTTACAAGAAACGTTTCGTGCCCTTTAATAACCCTCGCTCCCGGAGAGAGGGGGGGGGGCGAGGTTATTGTAATCGGGTCCATGTGTGTGTCTGTCTATCTATGTTTCCGCCCGCGTATCTCGAAAACTAAAGACCGATGTGCACGAAAATATTTTAAAAGATGGAAAGTCATCATGGAACAGTCCTCTCCAAAATTGGTCCGGATTCAAATATGGATCCGCATTCTTGATCACTTTGAAGCATTTTTTATAATGGGGAGATATTGCATTGTCGCGGTTTTGGGTTAATAACTCTGTAAAGTGTATTCGGATTTGTACCATATTTCATGGGCATTCAGGTTAAGACTCCTCATCAAACTACAAAAAATGATCCGGATATATGTATCTCCATCAGGGGGTTCATAAGTCTTGCTCGAAATTCGAGAAAAAATATTTTATTAAATATAATTTATAGAATTAAAATATTATTTTCGTAAAATTAAATTTATATGAATTAAAACATTTAATTTTGGAATACAGTTATTCATTAACGCGATTTTTTTTTTCGAAACAAAAAACATCTATAGGTTTGGGGGTCCGCGAAAATGTTTCAAATTAAAAAGGGTCTTCTGGTTACTAAAGTTTGAGAACCGCTCATCTATATCATTCTTATCACACTTAATAACAAAGTTCAACGTGTACAGTATGTCGCAAACTTCGTTAAGACTACAGCAATTTGTGTTATGGTTTTCTTCTGTATT